CTCCCTAGTGTGTCCCAGTGTCCCTCCAGTTTGTCCCAGTGGCCCCTATTGTCCCCCTAGTGTGTCCCATTGTCCCTCCAGTGTGTCTCAGTGCCTCTCCAGTGTGTCCCAGTGCCCCTCCAGTGTGTCCCATGTCCCTCCCTTGTCCCCCATTATGTCCCAGTGCCCCTCCAGTGTGTCCCATGTCCCTCCCTTGACCCCCATTATGTCCCAGTGCCCCTCCAGTGTGTCCCATGTCCCCCTAGCGTCCCCCATTATGTCCCAGTGCCCCTCCAGTGTCCCCCGGTTCCCCCAGTATGTCCCAGTGTCCCTCTGGAGATGGAGAGACAGACAGAGCAGGGAGGGTAGATCGCGGCCCATCTGGGTGTCCACCTGGGTGTCCGCGTGTCTGTGTGTCCATCCATGAGTCCATGTGTCTGTCTGTGTGTTTGTCTGTCCATCCATGAGTCCATGTGTCTGTCTGTGTGGCCATCCCTGTGTCTGTGTGTCCGTCCGTGTCTCCCTGTGTCTGTGTCTCTGCGTGTGTCCGTCCGTGAGTGGGCACACGGGTCAGTCCCTGTGTCCGTGTGTCCATGGCTGTCTCTGTCTGTGTGTCCGTGGCTGTGTCCATGTGTCCGTGTGTCCGTCCGTGAGTGGGCACACGGGTCAGTCCCTGTGTCCGTGTGTCCATGGCTGTCTCTGTCTGTGTGTCCGTGGCTGTGTCCATGTGTCCGTGTGTCGGTCCGTGAGTGGGTACACGAGTCAGTCCGCGTGTCCCTGTGTCTGTCCCTGTGTCTGTCCCTGTGTCTGTCTGTGTGTCCGTGTGTCTGTCTGTGGGTCTGTGTGTCTGTCTGTGGGTCTGGGTGTCGCTCCATGGGTCTGTCTGTGTGCCCCTATGTCCGTGGGTCCATCCCCGTGTCCGTGTGTCTGTCCGTGGGTCCGTCCCCGGGTCCGTCCCTCCCCTCTCCTCCCCTCCCTCCCTCCCCTCCCCGCCCCGCCCGGCCCCGCCCCGGCGCTTCTGCGGCTCCAGCGGCGGCCGCGGCCTTTGGGGCGGCGGGTCTGGGGCTGCTCCGGGGTCCCCCCGGCCTGGGGACCCCCCCTCCCAGGACCCCCCTCCCAGCACCGCCACCGCGGCCCCCCCCGCAAATCCCGGGATCCATCCCGAATCCATCCCCGGATCCATCCCCGGATCCATCCCCGGATCCATCCCGTTCCCCCCCGCGCTTCCCGGGATCCATCCCCGCATCCCGGTCTCTCCATCCCGGT